TTGACTTTGCATTGTTCTTGTTCTTCATGTGCAAGTTTTTTTCACCTTTACATAGTGAAAATTTATCAGTCTTTTGTTGCTTTTTGATTTTGAGTCATTGTTTCATAGTTAAAAGGCTTTCCCTGTACCTAGGTTATAATCTACCATGTTTCCTTCTGGTACTTGTATGGTTTCTATTTTCTTTTAACATTAAAATTCTGCTTGTAGTTTATTCTGGTATATGTAGCATAATATTTGGATCCAATTTTATCTTTTTCCAATGACTATCCAGCTGCCCCCACATTATTTATTATAAAAACTATCCTTTCCCCCTTTAAGATATCACCTTTATAGTATATTCAGTTTCCATATAAACTTCAGTCTATTTCTAGCCTTTCTATGTGTTCCATTGGTTTATTTCTCTAGAAGTCAATATTTAGCCATCGAACAATCCATTACCAAAAGCCTACTATATGCTAGGGGTTGATTTCAATGGTTAGTGAAAAAGGCATTACTTCTGCCTTTGGGGAGATTCAAGAGCCAGAAAACAAACAAAACAACAGATGAATAATAAGTAAATGAAAATCTAACTGCAACTGCTAAAAGTGTTATGAAGGGTGCAAGATTCGAGAGAGAGAATAAGGTGTGTGCTTAGGGTTATCAGGCTGAGAGATTTTTTGAAAGTGAGTTTTCTCTGAGACTTGAAGGCTGAGAAAAGCAACAACAAGGAAGCCAGGACAGGATTCCTGATAGATGGAAGAACCTGATGAGAGGTCTAAGACGGAAAAGGCGTAGAATTATTCCGGATGGCCAGAGGAGGCCTGTGGTTCGATGCGTAGGGCGGAAAGGGGAGAGCGCTCGGTGTGAACGTGCCTTGCTCTTGGTTGAGACAGAGTGACAACAAAGACAAGCAGGGACCTGCTTTGCCGATAGCCTGTGAGCCATGGCAGTAAGTTTGGAATTGCCGTGGGAAGGCAGTGAAACACGTAGGCAGAGATTTTCCTTTTAATTGGCATCAGCATCATGTGGTGGGAAGTGTTAAAAATATTTATTTATATGAAATGTCCAGAACAGACAAATTCACAGCGACAGAATTGGTGGTTCTCTGCCAGTAGCGGTTGCTAGAAGCTAGGGGGACAGGAAATGGGCTTAATGGAGATGGGGTTTCCATTCGGGGGGATAAAAATCTTCTCAAAATGGAGAGTAATGGTCACACGACATTGGGAATGTACTACAAACCACTCAGTGGTGCGTTTTAGAATTGTCTGAATGGGAAATTTTATGTTACGTGGATTTTACCTCAGTTTAAATGTATGTATTCTTTAAATATGTATAGATAGTCATGTGCACTCTCACACACATCTTAGCCCTACTCCTGTAGATTTGAATTCAGTTCGGGGTGACGCTTGGACATTTGTATTGTTACCAGGCTTCCTGGGTGATTCTGATCCATATCAAAACTGATAACCTCTGACTTCATTTGTTTTCTTGCTCCTTCTGGCACCGTATGAGCTATTGTCATATTTGTGTTTTCGCGTGCTTTTCAGAAATTGTATAATATTTGCGACTTACATAAGCCATTCACTTTTTATGGTTATTATATTCATTTGTCTCCCTATTCTACTGTAGAATTTTTTATTTCTCATGGAAGAGGAGCACAGTTTATATTTACTTATTTCTTACTTTTCAGACTTGGAGTCCAGGTGTCAGACATTTCTACAAAAAGATATTTTTGAAATAGAGTCATTCAGTTGGGAGATAATGGAAAGCCTTAAATGCTGTGATCTTGAGGGCTCCAGTTTCAGAGATGACTGGGAATGCAGAGGCCAGTTTGAAAGACCACAAGTGAATCAGAAGTGCTGTTTCAAGCAGGTGGAAATCACCTACGAAAACATGCCCACCTTCGAGCATCACACTTCTCACGCTCTACATCCGAGCAGCGACACTGGTGAGAAACTGATCGAATGTAATGAATGTGGGAAAGCGTTTAGCCGTGGCTCACACCTTATTCAGCATCAGAAGACTCACACTGGTGAGAAACCCTTTGAATGTAAGGAATGTGGAAAGGCCTTTAGCCGTGGCTCACACCTCATTCAGCACCAGAGAATTCATACAGGCGAGAAACCCTATGACTGTAAGGAATGCGGGAAGGCCTTTGGTCGTACTTCAGAACTTATTTTACACCAGAGACTGCACACTGGTGTCAAACCCTATGAATGTAAGGAATGTGGAAAGACCTTTAGGCAGCATTCACAACTTATTCTGCATCAAAGAACTCATACAGGGGAGAAACCCTACGTATGCAAAGACTGCGGGAAGGCTTTTATTCGCGGCTCGCAACTTACTGTTCATCGGAGAATTCACACAGGTGCTAGACCCTATCAGTGTAAAGAATGTGGGAAGGCCTTTAGACAGCATTCCCAGCTCACTGTACATCAGCGAATTCACACTGGGGAGAAACCCTACGAATGTAAGGAGTGTGGAAAGGGCTTTATTCACAGCTCCGAAGTTACTCGCCATCAAAGAATTCACTCTGGGGAGAAACCCTATGAATGCAAAGAATGTGGGAAGGCCTTCAGGCAGCATGCGCAGCTCACTCGACACCAGAGGGTTCACACGGGCGACAGGCCCTATGAATGCAAGGACTGCGGGAAGGCATTCAGTCGTAGTTCATACCTTATTCAGCATCAAAGAATCCATACAGGTGACAAGCCCTATGAATGTAAGGAATGTGGAAAAGCCTTTATTCGTGTTTCACAACTGACTCATCACCAGCGAATTCATACTTGTGAGAAACCCTATGAATGCAGGGAATGTGGAATGGCCTTTATTCGTAGTTCACAACTCACCGAACATCAGAGAATCCATCCCGGTATCAAACCTTATGAATGTAGAGAATGTGGGCAGGCCTTTATTCTTGGCTCACAGCTCATCGAACACTATAGAATTCATACTGGTTAGAAAGCCTCGAACATTAGGCATGTATTAATAGAAAAGCCTTTATGTGGAATTCACACCTGGCTCAATACTAGAAAATTTTTAATGTAATGTAATTAATGTCAGAAAACCTTCACTTATGACTTCAATTATGGAACAGCAGAGAACTCATACCAAAAGAAAATTCAATAAATGTGGGAATTTCTTTTTGCCTGAGTCACTGTTTACTAAGCATCAGAGAACCTATGCTTAAAAAAAAATTAATATGAATGTAGAAAGGCCTTCTATTGCCACTCAAAATATGTTAAGTTTCTGTGAATTCTAATAGAAAATGACCCTATTAAAAGATTTTGTGGGCCAGGTATGGTGGCTCACACCTGTAATCCTAGCACTTTGGGAGACCAAGGCAGGAGGATCATTTGAAGCCAGGAGTTCAAGACCCCGCCTCTACAAAAAAATGGAAAAATTAGCCAGGTGTGGTGGTGCATGCCTGTAGTCCCAACTACTTGGGGAGGATAGCTTGAGCCCAGGAGTTTGAGGTTGCAGTGAGCTACCATGACGATGACGGCACTGCACTCCACCTGGGGTGAAAGAGCGATACTCTGTTTCAAAAAAAAAAAAGAAACCAAAACTAAAATTACAAAGAAGAAATGAATGAGTAAATTCTGCATATCAAAACCAGTTTAGTGAAGCCAAAGCTATACTGTCGGATCGCAAAGGTTGAAGGTAGGAGCTTTGTTCTCCACGTGTAGATCTCCAATGCCTGGTCACCTGGTCAACAACTGAATATGTTGAATGGCTGAATAGTCAACTCTAAAAGTTAGGAAAAAATTATAA